GACATCCGCAACAAGCTCGAGGAGCGTGGATGGTCCCTTGGCGTGCCCACGGTCAAGAAGGAGTATGCGAAAGCTCGTGCTCGCATCTGGGGCACGTCACCAGAACCTGCCGCCGACGATACTGAAGAAGGCCATGGAGAAGTGATCGAAGATGAAGAAGACGGAGACGTGAACATGGAGGAGGAGTCAGTTGAGCAGGAGGAGATGTGAGTTGGAGACGACGGGGTGGCAGGCGTCACCGTGCGGCGACCCGATAGTACAGGTTGGAGGCGACAAGGACTGGACATATGATTGTAAACGTAGCAGTGCGGCCACCTGATACATTATAATGTTCTATTGAGAATCCCCACATCCGTGCACATTGCGTGAAGTGAATCTTGAACGCGGCGATGCTTGACTGTTCTCTTTGACTAGTTTTAGCTCAGCGCACGGGCCACTCCGCCGCGGCCTTGAACCGCGACTGGATTCCATCACTTGTACACGACACAGAGCCATTTGGCTGTATCGACACCCGCGCCCCCGAACGACCGAGAAGCCCCCCGAAGACGCACGCGAACAACCGACGCAACCACCCGGCCTGTCTCTGTGGCGCCTCGCAGTATTTCGAGCGCGGTGATAGCGTGAATGACGGCGCGCGCACCCCTCAACCGCCCTTCTGCCTCGCGGCGCGCTTTCACTTTTTGCGCCTGAGTCACACGCCTATATTAATACCTCAACTCCCCTCCAACTCCCTGAACACGTCCAGCGACGCTTAGCTCCCATAATACCACACGCGACCATGGCCGACGAACACCCACCCCAGAATGTCGGCGGCGACTCCACCGCGGACAACGATGAGGAGGACTTCCGCAAGATCATGCAACAGATGTCGCGGGGCGCTGCCGAAGGCGAGGAGGATCTCTTGGGCGGTATTGCGGACCGGCCGCTAGATATTGGCGAGAAGGCCGACGACGCAGTCGACTACGAAGACATTAGCGATGACGACTTGCCGGACGAGGAGTTCGCGTCGGGCGAGGGCGCCGATAGCACCCAGAACTTCAGCGGGACTACTCTACAGGATTCTGGCGGCGCGGGTGACAACGAAGACGTCGACATGGACGACCTCTTCGGCGACAACCACGACGATAACGATGATCTCTTCGGCGACGATCCCAGCCACTCCGACCCGGTGCAAGAGTCCGCGCGACACGAAGACGACCCTCTCACCTCCATCGAAGACCTTGTCCAGGAAGGCTTCAGTAGTGTCGCAGAGGATAAGCCACAGTCTGCCACCCGCAACATCGCCACCAGTGTCGCACAGCAAGAGGTGGAAGAGGAAGACCCCGAGGTGCGAGAGCAGCTGGCTCTGTTCGCACAGTCTTCGCGCAAGAAGGATGAGCCGGCGGCTGCACCCGTAAAGACATCGCGAGAGGAGTTCGAGAAGATCTGGCCCAACTTTGAGGCGGACAAGCCGCCACGCTTCTTCAGTCTGGTACCTCGAAAGCGCGCTTTCTATATCCCCAAAGTTCCGCAAAAGACACCGAGACCATTCCAAACCAACAAGCTTACCTTGGACCTTGCGACGGACCAAGAAAAAAGCTTCCGGTTGCATCCTACGACCACCACTGCCAAGTCAGGCCGGCAGCAAGAAGAGGAGCAGGGTGGTCTCATTCACATTACCAATACCGCCGACGAAGATGGCGATAGCGAAGATCAGTTAGAGTTGGACAACCTCGACACCATCGACGACCGTGAGATGATCGGCAATGTATCCTGGAGCGACCTACGGATTGCCTGTGAGGATTGGGACGTGCCAGATGGTGCAAGCGATGTGACCATGTCCGACGGGAACCAAGCACCAACGCCGCCTGATAGCATGGGGGGCATTGACTTCGAGCAGTTATCGCCGAACAAGAAGCGGAAGCTTGGAAGCCGTGAGCAGCCCATCCAATTCTCCGTATACGATCACATGGACCTACCCACCTGGGACGATCCCGAGCTTGAGACGGCGCGACTGTCCAAGAAGATTCTTCTCGACATGAACGACCCCCATCTCCTACTGGATGTGCAGCAGCCCAGTGCAGAGCCACCGAAACCTCGGACATTGGGTGTAGGCCTCAAGCGCGACAGCCGCGGAAGTCTTGCAAACCCCATGTTCAAGCGCTACAACATCTCCAACGATGAGGCCTACGACGCGCTCAAGGAAAGCAGCCAACAGAAGGTCCGTAGTACGATTGGCCACATGAACGTTGAGCACAGCTTGCCCGCACTGAAGCTGCAATATCCTTTCTACAAGGTTGCGCTGTCCGACCGCGAACTCCGGTCTTTCCACCGTCCTACTGTCACGTTCAAGCCCGGTGAGCGAGCTAGTATCTCAGTCCTCAAATCTGTCAAAAGGAAGCACAAGAAAAACCTCAAGCCATCCGAAGCTTTCGCGTCAGCAGAAGACCTCAACATTGGCGATAATTCTGACCTCCTCCTTGCCGAGTACTCGGAGGAATACCCTACCACGTTGTCCAACTTCGGTATGGGTGTCAAGATTCTCAACTACTACCGTCGGAAGGACATGGAAGATACTGCGCGACCAAAACCGGAAGATGGTATTGGTGAGACCTCGGTGTTGCTACCGCAAGACAAGAGCCCATTCTCGCTGTTCGGTCAGGTTGAGCCCGGCCAGCAAGTGTTGACGCTTCACAACGCCATGTACCGAGCTCCCGTGTTCAAACATAAGCCCGAACAGACCGATTTCCTTGTGAGCAGAAGCTTCACTGGTGTTAATGGCCCCAAGTACTACATGCGAAACATTCCAAATCTCATGGTCGTCGGTCAGCAGTTTCCTTCTGTGGAAGTGCCCGGTACACATGCCCGCAAGGTTACTGAAGCCTCGAAGAAGCGATTGAAGATGCTCGCGTTCCGCTTGTATCGAAAGGGACAGCAGAAGAATGCGCGTCAACCTTGGGTCAGCAACGAGATGATCAAGCAGCATTTGCCTGGTACCGAGATTGCGCAGAATCGCTCTCGAATGCGAGAAATCATGAAGTACCAGAAGGACATTGGAACTTGGGAGCCGGTGCCTGGAGAGACTGTTCCCGAAGAGCCGATTCTACGCACTTGGATCAAGCCAGAAGATGTTTGTCTGATCGACTCGATGCATGCTGGTGATAAACAGCTGCAGGACGCCGGCATCAAGTCGAACGAGATCCGTGACGACGATGAAGAGGCTGACAACGAGAACGCTGATGTCAAACTCGCGCCATGGAACACAACAAAGAACTTCCTCAACGCTTGCGCTGGCAAGGCCATGTTGGAGCTTCATGGTGACGGTGATCCTACCGGTCAAGGTCTGGGTTTCAGTTTCATCAAGGTTTCGATGAAGGGTGGTTTCAGAGATGTTGGTGAGAGTGCAGCTGATCGTCTCGATAACAAGAAGATGAAGGAGCTTGGTGGCCACAGCTACAATGTCCAGCGTCAACAGGTCATGTACGAGAACGCCATTAAGCGCATCTGGAACAAGCAGAAGGAGAGTCTATCTGCTCAGAACCCGCCCTCCGACACCGAAGACGATGTGGACTCTGCTGTAAACCACAACAACACAGGTCGCCAGCGTTCCGAAGTCGGCACCCCGGCCGTACGTCCTGATGATGAGACCATGTCACAAATGTCTCGCAATAGCAATGCGGACAACAGCGGCAAGAAGCTCAAGATCACTCGCACTATCAAGAACAAGTACGATGAGTACGAGGATGTCACAGAGGTCATCACCGACCCCGCCGTTATCCAGCTCTACATCAAGCACAAGCGACAGCAGCGTCTTCTCAACATGCGCATCGAGGACATCAAACCAACTGGCGATCCTGAAGTGGACAGGGCCCAACAGTTGAAGTTGAAGGCAGAGTTAGCACGTCTAGCTCGCAACATTGAACGCCGTGAAGGTCGTGAAAAGGCAAAGGGTATGCACAAGTCGCAGACCGGAGAAGGTGGTGCGACTGGTGGACCAGGCAAAGGCGGAGCAACACCTCGCAAGTGCGCTAACTGCGGCGAGGTGGGTCATATCAAGACCAACAAGAAGTGCGTAGACAATCTTCCCTTTCTTCAACGAATTTACTGACAGATTTTCCACCAGGCTCTGCCCGCTCCTCAACGGCCAACGGAAGCAGAACGACACATTCAGGGACGCAAGTGCTGCATCTCCCGCCACCGTCGTTCCTGCTACTCCATCCTTCGCCGGCTCACCGTCCTAGAACGACAACGTCACTAGCGGCACAGTGACTGGCTCTCCATCCACTGTTCATAATCCCGGGGCACCCCATTAGTAGAGGACATGATCGAGATGCAACAGCTGCTACGTATCATAACTGGTTTTTCAAGTTTGTACAAGGACATTCGTCCTGCACGGACTATCTGACTATTAACGCATCATGTGTGGTGGTATGAGCATGGGGATTTCGAGTCTTTTTCTCTTTCAATGCATAGCATGGCGTTGGGCGGACCAGGTCAAAACGGTACTCGGAACCTGGGCTTACTTCGGTAGCTCTCATGGCGTTTATTCTTTTGTGAGCACAGGTCTTATGTGCTCCGCTCGTTGACACTCGAGCAAAGTAATCTGTATAACATGTTCCCTGCAGAGGGGCGAAATGAGAGTAATCATTCATGAATTGTGCTTGTCCATGTTGGTGATCATGTCACTGTTTGTCGATAGATGATCATGCCAGGTTGGTCGACTTGATCTGGTCATCCACATGTCCTCTATTTCAGTAGAGTAGAGGACCTCACGTACGTTGCGAAGGAATACATGATAATGCATCCACAGTCTCATACATTGACTATACAAGAAGATAAGAAAGAGTTGATACAGACGGCAAGAAAAAATCGCACAAAATCCATGTGAACTCTCTCGCAATGCTACGTTCACTTGAAGCAAAAATGCTTTCCCATGCAAGGTTGGTCTCCAAACACCTCCGCCAATATACACATTCCTATATTCGCCTAAAACCCCACCTTCCATATCCTACACCACCCCATTATTCATCCAGATAACCGATTTTGCAGAATTGGTTCAGACTCCGCACATCCAACTGAGCGGTAAGCAATGCGCCGAGCATGGTCTCTTTCCGAGGTAAGATGTCTGCCTTGACTTTCCACGAGCTACCGTTGAAGTTGAAAATCTCCATGTCGTCGTCTTCATCTTCGTCATAGTCGTCCTCATCATCGTGTTCCATGTGCCCGTTTGTTTGCTGTACGCCCTTGACCAGCGGTTCACCACCCTTTGACTTGTCACCTAGGCGTTTCAGGGTTGATAGCGCGCGATGGACGATGAGCTGGAAACCTTCCCGGTCATGGTCCATGGGCCGTTGGCCGCGGTGATTTGGCGGTTGTGGGGGGTGCGGTATGGCCGCATCGGTAGCGGATAGCGACATGGCGAACTTGAGTAAGCTATGCGCCCAGCCGTCTTCCGACTCGAGCCATGAGCGACAGATACCAGTCTCGGGCCCTGGAGCTAGGCTGGCGAGTATATCTGCCGCCAACATGCCCTGCATCAGGTATGCTTTCCGTGACTCTGCAACACGCGCTTCGAACATGCGCACCTCCTTGGGGCGTGGCTCTTTCATCTGGTACATTTTGTTTTCAATGTAGTTGCGGTCCGGCACAACGGAGATGGCGAGGGCGAAGGAACGCGTTAGGAGGTCGTACGCAGGGATAGATGTTGCCTCGTTGATGAATATTTGCTTGTAGTAGGTCCGGTTGGGATCATCGCGAGCGAGGAGTTTGGCAAGACTATCAACGGCAGAAGGGAGATAGCGGTGGATTTGCGGGTTGAAGGGTGTGAATTTGACAGGCTCAGCGGGTCGCGGAACTGGAGCAAAAGCGCAGAGGAAGTGCAACACGGCGTATGCGTCTTCACGATTTGGCAACACAACCTTCGCGCTTGTGTTAGAGAAGAAGGTGACTACATCCTTCATGAAGTCGAAGGTGTTGATGTGTGATCGTAGCAACAGTACGCGGGTTCCGACAAGCCGTATGAAGTTTGCGAGAAACTTGATTACTGGAGCGCTGACCAAAGAGTCGTGGTTGACTTCGAGGAAAGAAAGGTTTCGGAAGATGGTGGTGATTGCCAGCAGCCGGTCTGCAGTACGGTCGAGCATGTACTCCTTCGTACCAGCCTGTGGGAGTTCTTGTAGTGCCGAGGCTTCCTCGCGACAGTGATGTAGGACGTCCTCGTATGGGGTGAGATCGATGATATCAGTGACTTCGGGATTGTCGTTGCCTAGTATCTCCAGCTGATCTTCGGCGTACTCCACCAGCACTTCTGTCAAGTCGTCGCAGTGCGACAAATTGAACTGGACGGTGTTGTCATACGTTATCCGCGTCAAGGTATCCAGACCCAAGCGCACCTCCGCATGTAGTCCCGACTTGATACTCATGATGATGGCACGAACGTCGATCACACCCATCTCCGGTAATAACGGAACATTTGGTTTGTAGTTTGTGATTGTGTCGATCATGTTCTTGAAGTTGTCGGAGTCGAAGTCGAGACCTCCCCATGTATCTTGCGTTCGGTAGGCGGGCTGATAGACCCTCGTGCCATCATCTTGCTCGATGACTGGTTTGCGTTTCTCGGGCTCCTCAACGGCGGCCGCGGCTGAATCTGCGGCGGCGTTCTCTTCTTGCTTCATTGGTGACGACTGCGATTGGCCAGGCTCTTGTCCCTGAGTAGGTGTCCCTTCCAGCTGTCTGCTGAGGCTTTTCCGCGCGTTTCCGTCCGGCTGTGGTGTGGTGCCGTTGACGCTTGGTAGCGCTGCATTGCTCTGTAAAGGCGTCGACTGGTGTGGATGTGGGGAAGGGTCGAGTTGCTGATGCGGCTGTTGGGCAGGCGGAAGCGACTGCCGTTGCTGCTGTTGCTGCTTCATCGCCTCCTGTGATCTCTGTAGTTGCTGCAGATATTCCTGGTGTCCTGCAGCATTGACTTGTTGTCCCGGCATAGTCGGTCTTGTTGGCGACATCTGCTGACCCACAGAACCCATCTGGTTCATCTGGCCCATTTGACCCATTTGATTCATCTGTCCCATTTGGCCCATCTGTCCCTGCGGAGGCATACCCTTCTGTTGCATTTGCTGTTGTCTTTGCAGATATGCGGTCTCGTAAAGGCTTAGGTTCTGTTCGTATATCTGGCGCAGTTCGTTGGGGGCGTTTGGGAACTGTTGTGGATGTATGTTCATCATTTGCGCGATTCTGGGCCAACCGTTTTGTTGCGTCACAAATCGATGGCCCTTGAAGCGCATGACGGCCGCGTAAAGGTTCTGGAGATTTGTCGGCCGACCGGCGCAGAGTGGTTGGTGGTTGAAGGGTCTATTATGCTGGGCCATCAGCGCCTGAACGTTCTTAATGAACTGGTTGTACTGTGACTGTTGGTTCTGTGCTTGCCCTTGAGCCTGCATCATGTTCTGCTGCATTCCCGGATGCTGCATTGGGTTTTGCATTGGATTCTGCATTGCGCCTGGCATCTGCGCGCCTGGCTGCTGCCCTTGTCGCGCAGCCATGTTGCTCGCGGCAAGATTACCCAACTGCTGCTGCTGTTGCAGGCGCATTGCGTATTGCCTTTGCGCCTCTTGCTGTCGACTCTGGAGATTTTGTGATAGTTGCACCGACTGTACGGGGAACTGGTTTCCGGAATTAGCATTGAAGGCTTGATTCATCGGTGAAGCCTGGAAGTTCATGGGCGACATCTGCGGCGCGTGGGGATTTTGCGCTGGTGAGGCCGTGTTCATGCGCTGGCCTCCCATCTGGCCGGGCGCGAAGTGCTGGCTCTGCATGGTGGGCGAGGGCGTGTTAGTGAAGCCTTGCTGGTGCTGGAAGCCGAATTGGGCTTGCTGTGAAGGTGTCTGAGAGCGCGATAAAGATAGAGCGGCGCCGGACGAGTCTCGTTTCTGGGGCACCGAGGGCATAGGATTGAACGGGCGCGCGCCATTCATCTGGGGTGTTGCGATTGCGCTCGGGTCGATGAAGCTCGACGGATCGTACATGCCGTTCTGGGGGGATTGGAAGTCCATGATGGTGCGCTACTGCCGCGAGCAGTCAAGAGCGGCGGCGGGCAGGGAGGGGACAGGCGCGTGAAGGCAAGGACGAGGAAGAGAGCGATAGGCGCACGTGAGTGTCTGGGTTGGATATGGCTAGTGGTCCGTCAGCAGGCATGTTGATGTTTAGATGGACGCGCCTCTAGCAGCAGCCCTCCGACGAGACGCAGGCGCAGGACAGGGACGCGGCAGGCGGAGGCAGGATGAGATAATACACACCGGGCGCGACAATAGACCGACGCTAAAAGGATCTTCTCATCAGGGCAGGACGGATAACGAGTGGCTTTGAATGCGGTCGATAACTTGACGCACCGCAGACGCGCTTTGCGGACTATGCGTTGCTGAGAGCGGAGGAAGGAACAGTTTTCTTGGCGGAATCCCAGCCTCTACTTACTCTAGCCTGGTCGGGAGCATCACGAGACCTAGCAGTGTCCGCGACTCCAAAACAGAGCGCACGTCGCCCGCAGAGCAGAAGCAGCCGCAGAGTCTCCAAAACATACACGCAGGCCACAGTCGCATCCGGAGCCGTAGACGCGTTCGCGCGTTGCGACAGACCAGTGGAGTGCCTGCGTTGCCGGCAACTCACAAGCCTAGCCTAACTCAATTTGATTTGATTTCTCCGGGTCTTTGGCCGTCGTGACACGGAAACACACGTCTCTCCACTTATTACATCACTTTGTTCCTGCAGGAAATGGCGCTGTTATCGCACACAGCTGGGCGTCGAGAGTGGGCACACCCAGACCGCTTGACTCTGCGTCGAGAGCCCAGCCAACCGTTGAACCGCCCCAAGCTACTCCCAGAGTCAGCGCACCAGTGTCCTCGTCCGATACTTGACGCAATCCGGCCTCTCTGCTCTGCCCTTGAATACGATGCAAATTCGCAACAATCCTATACCCGTTGGTGATCGGCGCGTCACACGCCAGCAATCTACCATGGCGACTGGGGGTATACATGTCAGATTCGGCGCTTGTGCCATCGTACACACGCATCGAGGCCCATACTCTATGCTGTTGTCTTCATACTCTATAATTTTCACAAAGCATTCCTCGATCAATACATGTCAGGTAATTAGTCCCCGGTCGTTGTCGTGAACCGGCGCGGGATTTAAACACTTCAAGGGGGCCAGGTAAAACTAGACTTTAGAGCTGATCCGTACTCCACATCTGCTTCCAGCCAGAAGGAAAGGTCACACCGCGAGTTGAATAACGTCCCTCATACAGGCCCATTGCATAGCTGTCTCGAGCCATGAGCAAGGGTCTTCGACTATCCCTTTAGTATACCATAGAAGCCTGGTTGCAGTGGGTATTGACGCGCAATACCGATGTGTTACAATCATACTGTCCTAGTGTATAGGTCTGCCTGCGTGTAACAAGAGCGTCGTGAATTTACTTTTTCACGTGTCGCAACAGATGGCGTCTGAGCTAGCTGGCTGGAGCCCTGGAGTGATCGTCGAGCTCACGTGACGTCGGCGGCACCGCCTCGCATTGCCCGATCGCGCCTTCCATGAGCTTCATCAACATTGCGACACACAAGCACCGCCTTCACCAACATCCCGCCACAAACAATCACCACTGACGAATACTGTCTCTCGCTGCTGATATCCCCCACCGACTTACAACTACACAAAGTCCATCCAGCTACTATCATCATGGCTGATACCGCCATGGAGAACCCGGCCAACACCGTCCCGCCGCACAAGAAGCAGCTCCCGTCGTCGATACCCAACTTTGATACCCTGGAGGGCTTCTCCACCGAGGGCAGCGATGACTACTCGACCTTCAAGAAGCTGCAACGGCAATTAGAGTTCGTAGCGCTCAGGCACATGGAACCGCAGGTGGCTAACAGTCGCAGGTACATCCATCTACAGGAAGAGTACATCAAAGATGAGCAACGGAGTCTGAAGCGAGAGTTGGTGAGGGCACAGGAGGAGATCAAGCGCATTCAGAGTGTACCGCTGGTGATAGGGCAGTTCATGGAGGCCATCGACCAGAAGTAAGCTTCAACACAGGCACAGCGCTTGCGTCATGACACTAACACGCGCAGCACCGGCATCGTACAATCGTCCACCGGCTCCAACTATGTCGTCCGCATCCTCTCCACTCTCGATCGCGAACTCCTCAAGCCATCGTCATCCGTCGCGCTGCACCGCCACTCAAATGCCCTCGTCGACATCCTGCCACCAGAGGCCGACTCCTCGATTGCCATGCTTGGTCAAGACGAGAAGCCAGACATCACGTACGCCGATGTTGGAGGTCTAGATATGCAGAAGCAGGAGATTCGGGAAGCTGTTGAACTGCCGCTCACACACTTCGACCTCTACAAGCAGATCGGTATCGACCCACCGCGCGGTGTACTGCTATACGGACCTCCGGGTACAGGAAAGACCATGTTGGTGAAGGCTGTAGCAAACAGCACGACCGCGTCCTTCATCCGTGTTGTCGGTTCGGAGTTCGTACAGAAGTACCTGGGTGAAGGCCCACGTATGGTTCGTGACGTGTTCAGAATGGCGCGCGAGAACTCGCCATCCATCATTTTTATCGATGAGATTGATGCTATTGCTACAAAACGTTTCGATGCGCAGACAGGTGCCGACCGAGAAGTTCAGCGTATCCTGCTCGAGCTGCTCAACCAGATGGACGGTTTCGACCAGACGTCCAACGTGAAGGTCATCATGGCGACGAACCGCGCGGATACCCTCGACCCTGCGCTGCTCCGACCCGGTCGTCTCGACAGGAAGATCGAGTTCCCTTCGCTACGCGACCGCCGTGAGCGCCGTCTTATCTTCTCCACCATCGCTAGCAAGATGAGCTTGTCGCCTGAGGTAGACCTTGACAGCTTGATCGTCCGAAACGACCCCCTCTCCGGTGCCATCATCGCAGCTATCATGCAGGAAGCGGGTCTGAGGGCCGTACGCAAGAACAGGTACAACATTATCCAGAGCGATTTGGAGGAGGCATACACCAGCCAGGTCAAGGGTGCGGCAGAGGCCGACAAGTTCGATTTCTACAAGTAAGCGCATCGCTACTTGTAAGGGACTTGAGAAGGGACATGCACCATTGTACTACTAGATAGACTAGGCCCTGGGGTCTCGTATCCTATGAGGCTATATACCGTGGTCGCTTGGGTAATGCATGAAACAACATGAATATCACCTTGACTACGCCTCGATTGCTGTTGTGTGATCTAGACGTTGCGTTTCATCTAGACCAGGGCTTGTGCACTACTAAGCTACATTCTTCACGTTCAGGTAAAAGGAAGTGGAAGAGAATATTCCTATGTTTACCACATCGGGCGAAAACGCCCCATGTTTGCATACTCAGTCCTTTTCTCACTGCGTCTGCCGGATTACACATGTCTTAAAGCATGGCTGTATTATTCTAATTCGGCAAGATATGTCAAGATAGTCATTGATTGTACTACTGCGGTAACAATATATACAAACATCACGCAAATATTATTATTGGTGAGTGATTATAGTTCAAGAAGTATCTGACGTACCAACGTAGACAAGAGACTATGCAGTACATCACAGGGCAGTCCTTGTACACGGGAAAAACTCTATGGATTTCATGAGATTTTGCACTGACTTTGATATTGTATCCAGTATACTACACATTGACATCCATCTTGTGTCGCCATCTATAAGCCATTTTAGTTACATACCATCAAGATCAATGGAGACAAGGTTACTTAATTATATGCATTTATAACTTCTTTCGTCTATCTACCAGATATGCCACCAAACGCTCCTTTCTGTCAGCATACCCGCTTCTCCTTCCCTTTCCCACGCCGTCTCTTCTTGGTATCACCGGCAACTCGCAACCAAAATCCACCAACAACTATTATTGCTGCGTCTTCCTCCTCCATCCACCCGACTAAGAACTATCCTACAAAGACACGCAGCAGCGGCAACCGACTCCACGCACTAGCACCTCAAGCTCGGCAAAGACAGAGGCAAAGGACAACAATTGCACCGCAGGCCATCCGTTCCATTCCGTGATCCAACAATAAGGGAGAAGAGCTACATATCTCCCAGAAAGGAAAGAGAAAAGAAAAAGAGAAAAAATGTGACAAAGGAAAAGCAGGAGCGACTCGACGCCCTATAGTAACGGGCGGCGGCTCATGGTATCATGCATTCGCGACGCAAGGGAGCGACAAAGGAAAGGTCCGGTGGATTGCCAGACGGTATGCAAAAGGCGTTGTATGAGAAGTTATGGTGAAATGACGAGTTCGGTACAGATTCGTTAACCAGTTTAGCCGACCCTGATAGTGGTCTCTAATGGCGTGCGCGGTAGATCTTTGTCCAAAGAGGCTCTGGGTATACCTCCCCTCTTGTCCTCCTTTGGTGGTGTGGGTGGTCCAGAGTGCCTGTTGGGCATGTATTCGGCGTCCTTTGCCGGTGTAGGCGGGCGCCCATCGCTACTCGCGGTGCCAGAGTCCTTCGGCGGTGTAGGCGGCGGCCTTCCCTGTGCATGATCCCTTTCCCTGGATGTAGACCTGGCTCTGGCTTCAAGTCGTGGAGGGCCGAGGTAGGGCGCTCCTGTGGGTGGTGGTAATGATGACTTCTCGCTACTCGTATTGGCAGCATGGCGATCTGAGGCACTCCGGTTGCTGTGCCCGCCAACACTTGAAGATTCACCGGCCTCTTCCACCACAGGCAGAGTGGTCCCAATCTCTCCTCTTTCCGCCGACGGACTACGTACTGCCCTCAAATGTAGATTGGGTACGTTTTCTTCACCATGACCTTGTCGCCGCGAGCGGTCGGCTTGATGCTCGGCCTTCTCCAGGACACGGTCGGTCGACGATCGCTGCGCAGCAGTCGCATTGACACCGTCAAGCGAGAGTTCGTTGAGATCGTTTGTAGCCTCTTCCATCTTCTCACGCTCGGCCGCTTCTCTAGTCTTGGTGACACCGCTGATAAACTTGATGAATCGATCGCCGTATCGCTCGGGAGGTATAGCAGATATTTGAGACTCGGTATTAGCAATGCCTTTAATAAAGTGCTCCATACGTTTGATGAAAGAGTACTGGAGCATAATTAGTATTTGGCGAGCCCTATGCGCTGTACGCTGCAAACTTACGTGTGTCAGACAGTCGATAATGCCGAGGTAGTATATCTCTTCTCCGGGGGTTTCGTCCTCGTGAGTGGCTCGGAAGCCACCATCGTCAGAATAGAAGTAGAAGTTCCGGTTAGGATCTTCCAACTCGTTCGGCATCTTGCTAGACGTCTGACCCATGGGTACTGGTTTCTGTGTCTTGACCATCTGCCTCAGTTCCCTTGCTTTCCGAGCACTCTCCAACTTCGAAGGCGTGCGCATAAGCTGATTCGGTTGGGGCTCTGGTGCTTCCTCTCCACCTGGTGAAAAGACCTTGAGTGTCTTGTCTCGCAGGTTCTCCTCGTTACCCTTTTCCAGGTCGTGGATACCAATGAGGAGCGAATAGTCCATTATGTGTAAGCGCTGCAGCAACTTGACGTCTCTTTGCATCTGCTCGATGAACATCTTCTTCTTGGACGGCCCTAACTCAAGATGCTGGTTTCTGCGTAACCAATTGAGGTCCTTCAGTGTCGCGCGGGGGTTGGTTGCCAAGTTCTCTTCCTTAAAGTCTCGCCCAATGGTAGAACCCTTGAGGTCGAATGTGCTGTGGATGTCTCGATGCGGGGGAAACAGGTTGTTCATGACGACGAAGTGGATTTTGCGTCCATAGGGTATCTTTACGCGATGCAGGCCGTAAAACTGGGAAAGAAGAGTGTTTGGGTTCTCTTGCACGTGGTTGTAGTAGTCCTTGAGAATCTTGCGGAGGAACTTATGTTCGGCGTGGTGGATGGTTTTGATGATGTACTTGTAGTCGCGGGAGAAATAGAAGAAGCTGCCACTCTTGCCGGGAGAGCCGAGCTCGGAAAGGATGTATTTGCTGGTCAGCGACACGAGATAATCGGCAGGGTCGAGCTTGAAGGTAGTGCGGAGATGGCGGAAGACCCATGGTGCATAGTCCTTGAACTTGAAGTCGTATTTGGCGGAAGGAGTAAGCTCGTTACCAGTTCTGTCAAAGTGTCAGTATTGTGCGAATAAGCAAAGAACAGAGGTCTGCCAGACGAAGTGGAGATGAACTCTAGCAGGTGCTTGATGTTGCAAGGAAAGCCGGCCGGCACGTACATGTCAAACGAGAACTTGTGCTTCGCGTCAAAGTCGGCATCAGTGAGATCTCGGTCCATCTTGGCGTTGGTTCGCGAGACGGTGAAGCGGATACCCGTCAACATGTTGTAGGCTGTCACCCAGTTGACGTGGTTCTGGTCGACCTTGGTGCCTACCACGACGCGGTCTTCGTCTTCGTCCTCCTTGCGCTTCCGCTTGCTTGCTCGCTTCTGGCGGATGTGCTCAGCCCAGCGCGCGGCCTCATCGTCCTGGGGCACCTCGTCGAGATGCATGTCGGAGTTGACGGAGCGTGTGGTCCGACGCACAAGCGACATGGAGCCTCTCCGTTTGTGCGGTGTGGAAGGCGAGAAGCGTCCACTAGCGCTGATGACGTCGTCGGTGTTGTTCTGGGGTTCGCGGGCGCGCGATGTTTGCAGCTTGGGGACCTCGAGGGTATGACGTTGCTGCAGACGATGAGGTTGTTGAGAGGGGCCGGGGTTGTTGTGGTTGAAGGCAGGCGGGGAGGAGACGCGATGCGCTTGGCTCGGTACCTGCAGACTGGACGTGCCCTCGTCGGGTTGGGGCTGCGGCGACGGCGACGTGGGAGGATGGGAGACGGAGCCGACGTGCGGAACATAGAAGTCCCTGCTTGCTTCTTTGGTGCCGTCTTGAGCATCGATCTGGCCGAGCTCGACGTGCGTGGTGCTGCCACAGAGGCGGTCCTTGGTCTTGCTGCTGTGTATCGAGGCGAAGTAGCCGTCGTCTCTGCTCGGGCGCTCGCTCGACTGCCTCTGCGTGTCGAGCGACTTGGTGTTGGAGCTGTCGGCGTCCATGTAGTCTCCTCTGCTCCGGGCATGACGTGCGTCGTCCTGGGACAGGCGCTTGTCGATGCTCGCGGGCCTGGCCGGGCGGCCGTTTGCCATGGGCTGCATTCCATTGGCCATCTTCCCGTTCATCGCGGCAGCGGTGCCATTGGGGGGCGAGCGGTCCGAGGGCGAGCGCGCGGGGGGAGGCGGTGATGTTTGAGCATGTGCAAAGGAAGAGCGGTCGGTTGCTTCGGCGCCATACGAGGGCATCATCTGCGACTCATGGATGGTTACGCTCATCAAAGAGGCAGCCTTTCCCGAGCGCTGCGGAGGAGGGGTCGGCGGAGCGTGAGAAGCCAGTGTGTGTGTGCGACGTGTGGCTGGTGAAGGTCGGGTTGGGCGTCGTCCGGGGGATTGCGTAGTGCAGCGCCGGCAGAGACTAGGTACCAGAGCGGAGCAGAGCAGAGCAGAGCGGCGCTGAGGGGAGGCAGCGGCGGGGCGGCAGGCGCTGGAGCAATGGGGGTCGTGATAAGAAAAACGGTGGGCGCAAGAATGGGCGTGGGTGTGTCGGCGGCCAGGAGTCGAGTCGAGCTGTGATGCTCAATAGTTGGCCCTTCGCTCAGCCCTTTGCTCGCCGGGCGCGATCCGACTTCCGTCTTGCGCTAGCCTTGGCAGGTGGACAGTGCCTTATTGCGCGCTGCGAAGCCACCAGCAACATGACCACGGGCCCGGCTCCTGCTGCATCACGGCAGTTTCAATGCAGTCGGACATGCTGGGCCCCATTCACCACTGCATTGCGCTGCTTTTGACGCCCCAAAGGCCCCATCGCTGCGATACTTGGACATGTTGTCTGCGTTGCGCGCGCCCGTAGAGGGAGATTGCGCGTCTGGATTAAGAACAGGCGGCATGCATCCCTCAGCCACACCAATAGTCCCAGCAGCTCGGGTGCGGCGTCATGCTGTGGCTCGCAATCACCCTATTCTTAACCATGGCGTGCCAAACTGAAGGTTATTTTCTACACCAAGCTGCACCTTGCTATTGCTATTGCTATGCAGTCCCCATCCATGCAGCCCACGTTGTCGCCCCGAGCACCGGACAACAGAGGAGGCGAGCCGGCCTTGCCCTGCGCCGCACGTCTGTCTTCGGCTCTATTTAGCTCCAGCTCCACTCCCAATCTCCTGGCTAACCCAGCCCTGTTTTCGTCCGCCCATCACAGAATGCGCAACACCTGGGCGACCAAGTAAGGGTCCAGTGCTCCATCAAATACATGTCCTCCCCGCAATGTCCAGGCGTAGACACATCTGACCAGTCTGGAACATCCTCACACTCGACAGTGCATCTCTGTTGAGCAGTGCGCACTCGGGGCCAACATTGAAGATCCGCGCTCTCCACGCTAGCCATCTTTGGCTTCCCTTTATGTGCCCTGCACGCCAACATATATACCCATGCTTGAGCATGCGACTCCAGTAATGGCGAGTTCAAAGTCCTTGTCGCACCTGAGACGACATGGAGACTGCCAAATCTCAAAACACCCTTATCGCGCAGTCGGTGTATGGCTGGGAGGACTTGGTAAATAGGCAGTAACCGCGCTGTCTTCATCCCACAGCAATCCGATGCTTGTCGCCGGCCCTCAGCGAACAGACTTCGGTATTTGGCAGCGTCTTCCTGATGACACCCTCTTCCACCATCTTCTTCACTTCGTCAACCGCGTGCTGTGCAATCTGAGTCAACTTGACGGCCCAGCCCCGATTGTCCTTGTCTGCATCATGGGCAGATATCCAGGCTTTGGCATACAGACTCTTGGCGATCTCTGTGCCACCGGGACTGCCAGCTGATATGTTACCTCCAAGCCACCAAGGGTTCTCAACGCAGTCAAAAGAATGTAGAAGCGCTGTGAGGGGAAGCGCGGATTCCGATACAAGGTAGGAGCTTGCGTAGGGACGAATCACGTCGTACGAAACACCGTGAGGTGAGTAAATGACAGACAAGGTCTTCTCTCGATCGTTGTTTGGTGACGGCACCAACGTACGGGGCGATGAGGCGATTGTCATTGGCGATCCTGGAGAGGGGGGCGGACTCATAGGCAGGTTGATGTAGTGCATTGGGCTTAGCGACGAGAGTACTGTGCAAGGAGGCCGATATGTTATCCCGATCGCGTGATGTACCTTGGAAAGGTCCCGCTTGGCTGGAATCCAAGTCACCGTCACCTCACCACATGTCCCTCGGGGAGACGGCGGCGGTAATACTATACGGTGTATGGACTGGCCATCTCCCTCGACGTACTTCGGCAGAGCGTGCACAAGGCTGGGACGAAAGTGTTTCCATGAGCGAATCTTCTTGGCCGCAGACGGTATGGCTAAAATAGTTGCTTCGCAGTCTGGTGGGAGTTGGCGCAAGGTAGCTTCATGGCAGTGGTCTGGCTTGTCTTGGGATATAAGCACGAGGTCGGGTTCGCGGTCAAGGTCTCTCAGGCTCGCGACGGATGGTTTCGCTCTCTGTACAGAATGCGAGAAGACGGAGTTTAGGATGATGGAGGGCCCTGAAAGCCAGGCTGGTCAGGAAACATTAGCACCCATCTACAAGTCGGCCTCCAGCGGTATCAAGCGCGATCTTCAGAGACTTACGGTCAACCAGAACCGTGAACGATCCTGGGAACAATCCCGGCGACGATAGTGGGGCAGCGGGTGGGTCAAAGGTAAGGAGAAAAGAAGTGTCTCCATTCAGCGACTCGACGGAGAGAGCCATACTAGCGAAGAACAAGTGCAAGACAATGTCGGCCACGCGCACGACGGGGTAACGGCAACGTAAGACATGAAGAAAGGGAGGCGAGGCGACAGGCTACGCGCTGCCGTGTCAGTCTGTGATGCCCATGTCAATGATGATTGCGGGCTTGCGCCATCGCCTTGGAACGCTCAGCAGAAGCAATTGTGCTGGAAGGTTGACGCGAGAGGGTAGTCGCAGACGAGCGTGGACGAGAAACAGCAGGTGCAGACGAGGTGCATGTGACGAGTTTAGAAAGCCATAGGTAGCAACACGCTGCTCCTGTCACTCAACAATTTCCACCCCGGCGCGTCAAAAGCTCGTCTTCTCGTGCGTCTTCTTCACTCTCCGTCCCTCTCCTCTCTGAAGTTTCCCACTACCCTTCCACCTCACCCCAAGTCTGTTGCCGAAATGTGGTAGATGCAGCTCCCTGCAACCAAGTGCAGCCTTCCTGGACCTGCCGCCGGCCGAAACTGGCTTTAGCTCGGCATCTGAGGAGCAAAAATCTTCATGGCGCCGCAGCCGATGTCCTGGTGAAGAGTCCGAGCAGTAGATCGCATTGGTCAAAATTCTTTGCATGCACGGGACTTGAGCTGGGAGGAGGCTTCTGCGCCGTCTAGCTGATTATGAGTCGTCTTGCTCCCAGCCATCTCTGATTGGAGCGCGCAAATCCCCATTCAAGCGGTAGGTCATTGGGCAGCACGAAGCTCTCCAAGCTATCAGCTTCTTCGCCTCAGCTCCAGGGCAGCCGTCTAATTGCTCCTCCGCTCGAGCTTGTCGTGGCGATACAGTTCTACCCTCACGACAGCGGTGCAGTACCATTGCTTCTTCTTCCACATGGTCAATCGTGATTCCTGAACACAGCCTCTACTTGATCACTTTCTCTCCAAGCCCCGCCGCCGTTCGCAGCTGCCCCGCATCCAGTTACGTCTATCCGCAGTAGCAGCAACTTCAGCTCAGAGCTTCTTCCACCCGCCGTAGTCACCACACCCGCTCCTGCCGTCACTGTAGCCTCCCCCCTCAGCTGCGCAAGCTCGGACTGAGCTTCCCCGTCCCAGCGCCTCGCTTTCCACGTGCCATTGCTTCGTCGCGAAGCTCCTGCCATTGATGCTCGCAGCCATGCCTCCGTCGCGCGCAGCACCGCTGACGAGCTCCTTCTCCGTCAGCGACGAGAACAATGTCGTAGTATGCCCGCTGCGAAACCACGACAGCTCGGCCTGTCGCAAGCGCTGCACCGGGGTAAGTCTCTCCCGCTGTTGCTTCACGTTACAGCAAGCTCCAAAGCTCCAGAGCTCTGGGGTGCAGACTAACACATGCGTAGGAGAAGCGTTTCCGGTCCATGCAGGAGCACATCCGCCGCGCCCATCCTGAGCACTACATCTCCAAGTTGCCGGCGACTGAGGTAGGCTTGTCCACGGCCAGCGCTGGCCGAATACGCTGCTGACTGTTTCCGCTTGCAGGAGAGCTTCATGCTTATGGTCAACACACCACCGCAAGAAAGACCCCCACCTCCACCTGCGACGACCTCAGCACCGCCCCAGCAGACGTACGACTATGGCGGAAGCGAACACAACTCCTTCTTCGAGACCGACTTCGGGACGAATCATCTTCGCACATCGGACGAAATGCGCCGGCCGTCACTCTTACCCGCCGCGACTGCTGCGGCTGCCCTGGCCTCGTTACACAACCATCGTGCCGAGTACGACTGGGACTCAGATCCGGTATGGACCCGCGTTGCACCTTCCCCACACAAGATCAGGCTAACAACTGCTGTGAACAGGACGCAGCATCCGATCCCGATTCGAAGAACTACAGGCCTCGCGCACGATTCGCTCCGACCACCATAGAACAACACATCAATGCCGAAGAACCTTACTACACTTCTACTTCCATACAGCAAGAGCTGCTCCCCTCCTCCCTCGCACGATCGCCTCCCGGGCGCTCCTCCACTCTCCCTCCTGGCGCTCACTCTCTCAAACCGAACAGACCCCGCAAGTCATCTGTAGGACAGAATGCTCGTAAGGGCAAACACGAGCGGCAGAAGTCCAAGGACTATTCGCGCAGGCTGAGCTACGACAGGAAAGCATACTCGGCTGAGCCGGCAACCGCTGCGGCCATTATGGGTAAACGGTGGGAAGACTTGATTGATGCTGCTGCTTCAGCCACAGAAGAGGATAGCCGAGATCTCACGCCGGTTGGTGTTACACTCTGCTATGCTATTCTATCTAACATGAACAGGTGCCACAGTCGCCAAACCAATCCCCTCACATGATGAACAACAGAACCTCTTTACCTCCCTTCAACTTTGCTTCACAACTTCAGTCATACACGGCATCACCTTTGAATAACGCTCTGACGCCTCCACCTCCGGATATGTCGGACCTTCAGCCTTTCCCTTCCGTCGAGTCTTCCATTGAATCAGCCATGTCCGGCCAAAACTTCCACATGCATTCCCAAGGTCTCTCCGATTCATCTCCTAGCTCTCTTTTCCCTGTCCAGATCTACTGCGCAGCATGCCGGAAACTGTCGATATTGCGCGACAGCTATGCGTGCTCAGAATGCATTTGCGGTCTGTGTCAAGAGTGCGTAGATGTACTTGTCAGTGAGCACAACCGCGGTCGTGCGCCGACGTGTCCGCGGTGCAGCACTATTGGAGCCAAGTTCAAACCCTTCCAGCTGGATATAAGATGAAGCAAGGTTCACTATGGCGTTTTGGGTATTACATCATAATCTGGCGTTTGTTTTTGCGTACCCCATACTTTCCCTTGGCCTCGTGCCTGGTTCCGCTTGCTGCCAATCATTGCTAGCTCCACGAGCCACATGGGCGTTCACATGGTCTGTTTTGGGTGGCTTGTTCGGAAAAGACTGCTCGAAAAGCAAGTCGGAGTTTTGATTTGGATGTTACGAGGGACTCGACCGGGCCTCCTTCCCTCACAAAGAGATCGCAGAGATAGACTCGCCTGCGAATGCAATACTCGGGTGTACTTACACCCTCATCGTTTCACTACTCTATGTTTCCACGACCATAGTCCGCTGTTGCACTAGCAGACTTGCGCAGAGCCTATTGCGCAATTGTTTCCACGTCCATGTTGACGTAGTGCTCAGTCAGCGTCAACAGGGCTTGCTCAGGGATTTACGTGGGCCCGATTTGGAACCACTTCGGCAGTGTAATAATGCGGTGAAGGAACCATGGTTCATGTTCGCCCGGGTGGATGTCGTACGTCAGGTGTCAGCCGCTCGAAAGGGTGGAGACTCCCGTCATTGCCGGACGCAACACTACTCGGAACGACTGCTTCCCACATGATTCAAGCTCTGAGCGGTCTAGAAGTCCAGAATCCTGGATTACGAAGAACACGAGGGTGGAGATTACGAGCCACCTCAACGTTTGAAAGCGGGAGGTGTTCCATCTGGCGCAGAACGGTATATGTCTATTTTGGCCATTGTCGCTGCAGGGACAAGAGCGATGTGGATAACTGTGTGTGAATGAAAGCGTCGGCCTCGGGAAGCAACGGACGTGGCGCCGTCGTCGCGATGCAAAGGGGTGCCGCGGAGCGGAGCAATGGCCGACTTGTAAGGACGGCCGGGAATGTTTTGTTCTGTATTCCTGCGCTGAGCGCCTTCGATATTCCCCATCATCGATTCTCTCGTTAGACCCGATGTGCGGCGATCCAAAGGGTTGGTGCAAGGAGGGCAGAAGGTTGGCCGGGTGCTGGACTCGTGACGCTCTTTTGGGAGATTGAGTGTGCAGTCATGCGGACGACTGCCTCGACAATGTTTCCTGCTGTCAACTCAACGCCTTTACTGCCAACGTGCTCCAATCACAGCAACCCCAAAGCTTAAAGCCGGCAAAGCACATATGGCGGTGTAGTGCGTCTTCGCCAGCGGAAAAAAGGCCAAGCCCTTCTCCTTTTACCCCGCCGTGCAGCCAATCGCTCTACTTGACCGCATCGACACAGCGTATCCTGCGACGGTGAGTCTAAAACGCCAACTGCTTCCGGCGACGCATCGGCGCTGGGCATACACCTAGGCAACGTGTGCGATCAGCGTTGAACGGGAAAAGCTTGGTCTCAACAATCAAGGAAATTATGGAAGAAAAGTAGTCCATGCCTCTTTGCCATGATCGCGCAGAACAAATGCGATCGCCCTGCGCTGCGGGTATGACCTTGCAGCCATGTGATCTCCTTGCAAGCTCAGGAACGAGGTTAATGTGGGATCGGCGATGGCTAGCGCAGGGTCTGGCCTTGCATCGTCAACCCGAGTACCCACATTAATCGACAAAGTCCATAGCATGCCGGTCTAGACGCACACTCGTTTTGTGGTTTGCATGGAACCCGCGGTTTGA